CACTTCATTGCAATTGCAATCGAGCTCAATAGGACCAGAACCGGTTTCAAGTGGGAACGACGGTCATATAACCCGATCTGCAGTTCGCTTTAAATCATAGTGGGAACGAGGCCTTTTTTCACAATGTCCCAATTTCTCTTTCCTCCTCCTTCCACTTTCCCTCTTTGTCCTCAGCTTACCTCAGTTGCTGCAAACTGAGGCTGCATCAGCACTGCAGAAATAATGCAATCTGACACTCCTTTAAGTGCCATGACTCGGTGCTACAGAATCCTGGGATTTGTAGGCTTTTGTGGCACCAGAGCTCTCTAACAGAGAAGACTAAGCATCTCACAAAACTGCAAATCCCAGAATCCATCGCATTGAGCCACGGCAGTTGAAGCGGTGTCAAACTGGATTATTTCTGCAGTGCAAAGGGAATTTTGCCCTTCCCTGTAGGCTGAGGCAAAAGCATACTGCTGCAACCTCTCTTAACTTGTCTGTTCTTCCTCATTGAGAATGTTTGCCATCTTGATCACACTCTGATTTCCACATTTCAACTGTGAAATGTTGGAGGGCATGGCAGCACCACATTACAAATGAGTTGATTCTAATTGCCTTTCACATCAGGGGCATCTTTGGCCTTAGTAGGAAGGGAAGCAGTCCCAACCAACGAAGGAAGCTGTTCTCCTTTCTCCGATCTCTTGACTCTCACACCAGCAACCACATCACTTGGACCACAAGGTTTTCACTTTCCTTTCTGTCAGCAGATCTTTCTTTTTAAATAAGAAAAAGAAGAAAAAATCTACAGTAAAGCCAGAGCTTTGTATCACGAGACCAACAAAAGGACCAGAGACTGAGCAGAGCATCCTCTTTCACAGCAATATGGGGAAGAGTCCAAGGTTGAAGCCTTTGGAGGATGCTGATAGTTTTTGAGAAATCTGACAGTGACCTGCATGAAGACTGACGCCTGCTTCCTTTGCCAAAATGGAAAAGGGATTCGAAAGAGGGATATTACACAACTTTATCAAAGTACAAATCAAAGTAGAAGTCAAACATTACATTTTTCCATGGATAGCAATTTGTAGCCTCATCAATAAGAATAAAAGCAAACAAAGCAAAAACAAAAATTAAAAGAAAAATAGAAACTTTAATGTCCTTGTGGCAGGCAAGTGAGAATAATGTTGTTGTTGTTGCGTGCTTTCAAGTCATTTCCGATTTATGGCAACCCTAAGGCGAAGCCTATCGTGGGGTTTTCTTGGCAAGATTTGTTCAGAGGGGGTTTGCTGTTGCCTTCTCCCGAGGCTGAGAGTGTGTGACTTGCCCAAGGTGGCCCAATGGTTCTCATGGTTGAGCTGAGACTCAAACTCTGATCTCCAGAGTCACAGTCCAATACTGAAACCACTAAGAAAGGATTATGGACCTGCATTTTAGCAGGTGAGTCAACAGAAGTTAGCATTTGTGGGGTAAGCATAGGGAGATCACAAAATTATCTTTCCATTAGCAGATGCCTTTCGAAAATATGTTCTGTGATTCTGGTGGACCATCAGCCTTGCCCTGCTCATTAATATATTAAATGAGAGGAAACTATGTTTCCCAAAATGCACTCTCATCCCTTTTTTCTTGTGTTGCTCTGGACACATATGTCAACTTTTCCATTAGAGCAACATTCAAAATTGTTGCCGCCTGCTCAGGCTGCCAGTTCAGGATCATCGCAAGCCAAAAACCTGAGACCTAGGGCTAGTCCCTGGTGAGGTTATTAAGCATTCTCGATTATATAACATTACAGGCACATTTGCTCACAGCTTGTCATTTAAATGCACACTCAGAGAACATATTTTATTATTTGAAAATTAAGACAGAAACCTTAGCTAAAGAGGTTTTTCCTAGATCAAGGTGAAATAAGAGGATTATTCCTTCTCACATAGGGGCTAAACAGATGGCCCCAAAGGAGTGACTTGCCGCTGCCCCTTTGAGCACAGAATTAGGCCCAGGGCTCTGCTGATTTCTCAGTATTGTTCCCTGTAGATGAACCTCACTGGCTAAGCATAGTCTCCCTGAGTAGATGTCTTTATTTTTCTTTTCTATACTTTTCTTGTCCTTCATAATCTATGTAGAACAGGACACCCAAAAGAGAAGAGACTTCCCCTCCCCTCACTTTTGGGTGTCCTGTCCTACACAGATTATGGAGGACAAGAAATGTATAAAAAAGAAACATAAAGACATCTACTCAGAGAGACTATGCTTAGCCAGTGAGGTTCATCTACACGAACAACACTGAGAATCATCGACAGCAGATCAAAGCCCTTGGTTTTCTGGAGGATGTAGGACAGTGAGCACCATGCCTGCCTCATGGGATATGCAGTATAGGAGCCCAAAAAGTTCTGAAAAGGCCAATGAGACTCCACACACTATGGCCCCAATCCAGCACTTTCTGCCTCAAAAAGGAATAGAAAAAAGCCACCTCTGTGTAAACGTGCCATAGGAATGTCATGATGCCGCCCGTCATCTGGAGATGAAAAGAGATGGACCTGGAAGAACTAAACTTCAAAGATCCTTTGATATGGACCACTGGACCACTGGGGAGGAGGTTTGGTCCAAATACTCAGAGTTGTTTCTAAAAGGATTGCTATGGCAAAGTGTCTTGATTCTGGAATAAAGCTACGGTGAATTTATACTTTAAAATGTTTTCCTGGTTCTTCAAGTTTCTTGCTACCAAGTATGACAACACTGAGAATCTGGAGAAATGAATGCCTGGTTGAACAGCAAAGCCAGCTGGGAGCATGACTCTGTCTCAGAGGGAATTACATTCCGGTGGAAGTTTTGCAAGATGGCAAAGGAAGGGGACGTGGATTTCGGCGCCTGGGTACTCTTGCTTTGCGTGGCTGCAACCACTGTTTCAGCCCAGAGGGATGCCTGCCACCCAAACCTCATGGAGCAGTTAGACTGGGAAGCTGAGAGATGCAAAGGAGCAAAGGAGGGAGGGTCAAGCAAAAAATGCATGCTGCGAAATAGGCCTTGGAGCCTAGATCTGCAAGACCGGCTAGTTTGAGGCAGGAGGGGAGCCATTCACTAAATGTAAGGCCGTCATTTCTTGCCCTCACTCCTTTTGCTGGGAAAAAGTGCAGCCAGCCATCGGGGAGAGGATGACCCCAATTCTTGAGACTGCTTGCTTTAAAAATACACCACCTTTGTTTTAATTGTTGAATTTAATACTTCACAAATGAAAACTGTGACGTGTAGCTATGCAGCTTCAATCTGTGTAGAAGATGACAAAGGTTATTAATGATGAGGAACACATAAGCTAGGGAAGGATGCAGCAGTTTGCTTTGGCCTGAGCCTCCTGAGAAGGGCAACATTCTGTCTTCTCATGTCCTCTCCTCCATGCTGAGTTAACTGAGGCTGCATCTGCACTGCAGAAATAATGCAGTTTGACACCGCTTTAACTGCCGTCGCTCAGTGCTTTGGAATTCCGGGGTTTGAACTTTTGTGAGATATTTAGCCTAGAAAGCTCTGGGGCCACAACAAACTGCAAATCCCAAGATTCCATTGGACTGAGCCGTGGCAGTTAAAGCGGTGTCAAACTGGGTTAATTCTGCAGTGTCTCATAAGAATAACAGCACAGTTTGAATGGTATACTCTGTACAGAGAGCCAGCGTGGTATAGTTGTTTGAGTGTTGGATTATGACTCTGGAGACCAGAGTTCGATTCCCTGCTCAGCCATGAATTCCCCACTTGCCCATTGGATGACCTTGGCCGAGTCACATGCTCTCAGCCTCAAGGGAAGGCAATGGCAAACCTCCTCCCAACAAACCTTGCCAAGAAAACCCCTTGGAGTCACCATAAGCACAGCAATATTCTATGCAAATGTGGTTCGTGTTTAACTTATCCTGAATGCCTCCCTAGGTGCTGCCTCCGATTGCTATGACAAAAGGTCATTCCTTGAAGGCCAGGTTTTGCCCTCCAAATATCCTGCCGTAGTTCTGATCTGGTAATTCCAGTTTGTCGTTGCCTCTTCTGTGTAACCCTCATTGGATGGTTTCCATTGCAGCACAACATCTAGGCCTCTTTTGCTCTGAATCTGAACGATTATCCAGGGGCACCCTTCCTCCTGCCAGTCACACATAAAAGAGGGGCATCCTTTCTATACACATCATTTCATTTCACAGTACATGCCTCTGTGTCCAGCCTTGGGCTCCCTGGCATTGCCTTCAGGAGACCCAGCTGCCGTTGTTCCACTTACTGGGCCAACGCGCCATGCTTCCTGCTGAAACTTGCAGCCAACCAGTGGAAGAATGAGGGCACAGATCCAATTGGCAGAGATTAGTGAAGATTAGCCATCAGGGTGGGAGATTTCTCCCCTTAAGCAGCAGATGGTCTCAGATAGAGTCCGGGTGAACTGAGTCAAATAGGGTTAAGATCTAGCAAGCTGCCCCGAACTGTCCCATGATTGTGAATGCATCCTATCCAACATGTTGCCGATGAAATCCAGAACATGTGTGGCCAAGCAATATCAGAGTGTGGTGAAGATGGTAAATGTGGTTAATGAGGAAAAACAGACAAGCTAGGAGAGGTTGCAGCAGTTTGCTTTTGCCTGAGCCTACTGGGAAGGGCAAGATTCAGCTCCTTCTTCTGGTTTTCTCTCCTCTCTTCACTGCTAACTTTTAGTGCAAGCGACTTTTACACTTTGAATTCAGGGTGCATCAACTGAAGTAAGCTGAAGGTGAAGGAGGAAAGTGGGAGAAGGAGAACGAAACTGAGACATTTTAAAGCATCCGAAAAAGTGGGATGACAGAGGATTAATCAGGACTGACCCTGTGAAACTAGGATATTTGAAGGGTATAAGTGTCATATTTGGTAGCAAGAAACTTGAAGAACCAGGAAAACATTTTTAAGTGTAAATTCACCATAGCTTTATTCCAGAATCAAGACACTTTGCCATAGCAATCCTTTTAGAAACAACTCTGAGTATTTCCCACCAAACCAGTACTTTAAAGCCCCCTGACCAACCCCCTTTTCCCCCTCCCCAGTGATCCAGTTGTCCATATCAAAGGATCTTTGAAGTTTAGTTCTTCCAGGTCCATCTCCTTTCATCTCCTGGGATCGGAAGGCAATCCCAGTCATAAACCTGCCCCAGTGTCCCATCTATTATTTACAATGCCCATCTGCCATTGCCTTTGATTTCCCCCCAGTACATGCATCACCCCTTGGTGGTCAGATTCCTATGAGAAGCATAGGATCCTGACCGGTGTCTTGTCTAAGGGTGTAGATCTCAGATCAGAGGGGTGGGAGGGGGTATTCATCCACCACCACCACCCCCCACAAGACTAAGCAACAGGGGTTGAGCCCTCCTTGAAATAATCTTTCAAAACCACACTGCCGAGTCTCCTATGTAGTCGAGCCTCCTGAAGCATTTTCAGTCAGAAGCAACTACGATCAAACAACCAAGAAATATGAAGACATCTACGTGTTGATCCTTCCCAAGAATAATAAAAGCTGCACATACTTATTTGGAAGTAGGCTCCACTGATGGAGATCCAGCGTGTTATAGTGGTTTGAGTGGTAAACTCTGACGATCAGGGTTCAGTTCCCTGCTTGAGTATAATAATAATAATAATAATAATAATAATAATAATAATAATA